TACTAACTTGTCTTATAGTCAGAGTTGACAATATATAATTATCCCATATTTAAAAGTAGCCATCTTTATATCTATGATTGTTGGTTCTTATGATAGGACCCTGAGTCTTACTTAATAAGGGTTCTAATACAGTTTGTAGAGGCTTCAGTGGCATTTCAGAAACAAATAAATTATATCTAGTATGATTGATTGTGCATTTTATAGGCCACTCAGTTATCTTGCAATGGTGAGCTAAACTATGTGCCACTAACTTTTCGTGTCTCATTAATGTAGTCTTATAGATGATTCCATTCATCTCCTTGAAATACGAGTACCCAACAAGGAAGTCCTGATGTGCTTGACAATGGGAACCAGCCACTTGCACAGCAAGATGTTTGTTGTGACAACTCCGCCTATTCCTGTGCACACACTAGAAAGGAATTAGTAAGTGGTAAAGGAATTAGTAAAAAGGCTAAGAGTTATATCTTAGACTGCTTGTTTGAAGATCTTGTCTTCTTTTTGAGCAGAATTTTCAGTCATCTATGGATCCACATGAATACTCAAATGGTTTCTCACACTTAGGGACAGTCTTTGGTTGCCAGGGCTTGAGTTGGGTGTGGAGTATACAGAAAGAAATCTAGGCTGCTACCTTGACAGCTGATGAATTTGACAGGATCTGGGTATGTGTCCTTCCAAAGTTAGGCCTAGGGAAGAGATTTTACCATTACTAAGTCTTCAGGAAGTTGTATGGGATTCTCTTCCCTTTAGGCTGAACTTTTGTTAGCTGTTGAAGAATCTGGTGGAATTTAGCCAGTGAATTTAGTAAGACAACTGTTTGTCTTTTGAAGAGAAAATTATTAGTGAGAAAAGGACATCCATAAAGTATTTCTGTTAGACTGAGACCTAGGATTTGAGGTAGATTTCTTACTTTGATAAGAGCTAATAGAGTAAGCAAGGCCACTGTAGATGGGTTTCCGGAGCTATTTTTGTAAAGACGCTTGTCAGGGTCACATTCAGTTTTTTCTACCTTTGTTGATGATTGTGACCTCTTTGCACAGTGAGGGTAACAGAATGCTCAGTGCCTGAAAGATAACCTGTGTGACTACTGCTTTAAAAGAAGGCTAATTATTGCTCTGTAAACTCTCAGGAAGTCCAAGTCTGGGAATGATTGCTGAGACCAAAACCTTTACCACTTCTCAAGAAATTTTTCTGTTCTACAAGGAAAGGCCTTAAACCAGTTTGTGAAAGCATCTCTTCAGACCAATAGGTACTGAAGTACCTTACTCTCTGGCATCTTAGTAAAACTGAGCTTCCAATGTTCTCCAAGGTATTCACCATGTCTCTGTATACCTATGATCCCGTTAGAGGACTGTTTTTTTTTCTTAGTAGAGATCACATGTTCTATCTGTTCTACTATCTGAGAAAGTTCCTTTCCTATAAATAACTTTGAGGCCATGTTTGTGGGTCTTGTCACTGCCCAAGTGAAAAATGTGATATAAAGACTTAATAACTTTTCATCAACTAGACCAGGAAGGAATACTTTACCGTCAAGATGAATGTAATCATCTTGATGGAACTGACACCCATAGGAGAGAATCCATTTGATTTCTGACTGAGACTATTTAGCTCAATGTGATCAAGGGACTCATTCTAGGTCAGGGGAGGGGGTCTACTATGGGGGAACTTGGGCACTCTTTTGGCAGCTGCACTAGCTGTCGATTACTTTATGATACTTTGTCAATTCCTTCTTTGTGCCCTCTGCAGTGAATTACCACCACTTTTGAGGGCATAGAGACACACAATAAAAATTCATCTATCTCTTGGTGGTACTTTATGGATGACTCATTGGCTGTCAAGTAATTTCTCTCTTTTTGTATGTCTATGTGGGAAAGTAACACTAGGAAAGCACACTTTGAATCAGTATAAATATTGGCTTTCTGTCCTTCGCTGTGTTATAAAACTCTGGTGAGAGCTACGCATATAACTTTCAAGCATCTGTAGTACAGTCACTACTGCACACCCTGACTTTCTTCTGTATTTCTCATCAAGAAACTGGCATCATAGAAGAAAATGAAATCAAAGTTAGTAAGGGTGTGTCTAACAAGTTTTCTTTGGTGGTATATATATATGGAAAATTACTTGTTTGTGGTCATGTATTTTAGCTATAATTACTTCCTTTTCTAGTAGAAAAGTGTTACGATTTAAGGAGCATGTCTTTACTTGAATGGCTGGTTTTTCTAGAAGTAGAGCCTGGTATCTAAAAAATTGGCTATCTGATAGTCATAGATTCACTTTGGAAGAAAGAAGTCCAGCCACATTGTGATGTGCACATAGAATAAACTCTTTGTCCAAAGTCAGCAGGGTTGCTTCTGGTACCAGGAGAACTATGGAAGTCACAGCGCTAAGGCATGCAGGTCTTCCTTTGCTACAATGGCTAGTTAATGACTCTGGTACACTGCAGGCTGTTGAGCAGGTCCTCAATCGTGCACAACCTTTCCCTAACTCTTGCCCCATTTCATCAACATAGATTGAAATGGTGTCCTGTTTGTACTCTCAGCGCCAAAGCATTTAGAAGCACTTGTTTAAGCTAAAATGTAGATTGGGAATCAAGTCCCCAAGTTAAAGTATGGGTATCTGCTTTTTGGACTTCCTTTATAAGCTAATACAAGGATCATGCAATCTTACCCATACCCTGTAATCCAAAGACAATAAAGGCTTGTAATTCCTAAGAATCCCCTTAGCTCTTTTAAGGTCTTGGGCTGTGGGAAGGGAAGTATTGGTTTAATTCTCTCTTCCCTCAGCCTTCAGGTTCATGCAGATATGACAAGGCCCAAGTATTTAACCTCATGGCTGCAGAGTTGTGCCTTGGGCCTAGAGGAAAAGGATGAAGTTTAAGAACTCAAGCAGAAAAATCCATATTCTGGATAGTGGTTTTTGTACCACTAACAGGTTGTTGAAAATGTAGTTACGGTAAACTGTAATTAGTTACAAATATTATTATGTTTATGATGTTACTAAAAGTTCTATTTTTTCTAATATAATATATAACTTAGCAAGGATTTGAGGAAAAGAACTGCCCAATATTACATACATATAACATGTTTGAAACCTAAGGTTCAATTTCCAGCACCAAAGTAAACAAAGATAATGAAAAAAATACAAGCTGAGATTTAGCAATCAATCTAATATTGAAAAGTAAGACTTCAAATACCAGAGTCTCTTAACAAGCTAATGTTTGTGATGGACACGTAAGTGAGTTAGCTGCACTGGGCTTCAAGCTTCTTTTCCAGATAGGTGGAGAAGTTGCAGAATATGCTAGCTCTCTTCAGAGACATTTGGAAATGGACACAAGAACTGGCACGTACAGAGGTTCACACTATCCTTTTAATAGTAGCCTAAGTGTCCTATATTCTGGAGGTGTGGGTTCAAAATAGTCTTGTGTGAGAATTTCCTGTGCCGTCTTAAGTGACACATTGATGTGAAATCTACTTTTTCCATTCGTGACTCACTCTGAGGACAGTCTTTGAAGCAGATCTTACTTGTTATTTTCCTGGATTTATGCTGTTAAGCTGCATCTGCAGCAGGTGTTTTTACATGTAGCCAGGACTATTTTTTCTAAAAGATGCATGATCTCTGGCTCTATTAATTTAACTCAGTGAAAGATAATAAATTCTAGATGTGATTCAATCAAAAGGCAATTCATAGGAAATGAAATAAAATTAGCATTTTTTATTCAGTGCTTATTTATTATTAAATATTTACTTTAGTATATGTGCTGCTGAAGCGAGCACTAAATATTTACTTTAAAATTCATGGAAAACGTACTAAAATAAATACAGTGGAAGATTTCTTAGAGTATTCTGGCTATTATCTATGAGGAATTAGTGAAATGCATCTTCATATATTTCAATTTGTTATCTAATATATATTAAAATGAAACCCATAATCATCATAAGGATTAATATTTAACTTTAGATATTGCAATCAGTATTTTTTGGTCTTTCAAAAATAATATATTGATTTATATTTAATTCAGAAATTAGAAGTACTTAAACATTTTGTACAACAATAAAAACCAAACACAATTCCTCATTTGCCTAAAAAAAAATGTTTAAATAAAATCAGAATTATCTAGATTACATAAAATAAAACTTCTAAAACTTGATTAAAATGTTTCAAACATAAGTCATATCACAATGATATGATTGTTTAATGATTTATTTTGCATGGTCTAATTAATATGAATAAGAAAATAGCATAGCAACAATGACTAAAATAATTTAGTTAAAACTCTTTGAGAACTTGAAGTGCTAATTTGAGGATTAAGTCTTTACATGTATTATGTTTTATATGTTTTCATTTGCATTTAGAAGTGTAAACTAGGTTATCTGATGGCAAGTACAATTTTAAAGGTTTTATGTTATATTTCAAAGCCTAAGTTGGTTCTACATCTCTTGCCACAGTACACTTCTTAACATACACACTGTCCTCACCTTTTTTTCAGTACCTTCTCAGAACTCCTGAATTATTTAACAGACCTTTTAATAATCTCTAATCTGTTTTAACAAATAAGTGCAATCTAGTAGACAACAGTAATGTACCAAACTTAATATACACCTATTTCTCTATAATATTATCTTAACTGTTCTTATATTTCAGTTTGTTACAAAATTTAAGGACAATTTTACATGTCTATATTAAAATATTCTTGATGTTAGAACATCTTCATATGGAAATTGGCTTTAACTTGTTATAGATAGCTATCCTTAGTCCTGGACATCTTTATAATTCATTGAATTTTTTATTACTTAGCCAATAGTATTTTGTTAAAAGCAGAATATTCACTAAACATTACTTATTTTGCCATAATACATATATTCAAAGCTAGGGAAGTATTTAGACTTTTCAACTTCAAAACGAGCACCAACACTGACATCCTATCCACCCTCCTTCCACACCACTTGTTTACCCCTTAAGCACAGTTACCAGAACTCAGTTTCTGACACCACTCAGTTGCTGAGATGAGTAACCAGCAAGTAATGTACTCAGAGCTCAATCTGGCCAAAGATCCAAAGAAACAGTGGAAGAAATCTAAGGGTACCAAAAGCTCCACTGCAGAAAACAAGCAGGAAGTAACCTATGCAGAATTAACCCTCCAGAGTGCTTCTCAGGAGCATCAAGAGAATGGCAAGGATCACGGCTGCAGAGGTATCGCTTTTCTCCCATCGTCACTGTAACTGTTCTAGAATAGACAATTGGGGCACAGAGATATGGGTAATATGTAGAACAGAGGCTCATATATTTTTTAACTTGTGAGGACAGGTACTTTAACTTGAATTATGCTACTCTAATTAAAGGTATGAAGACTAATTGTTGAAATTTTAAGTCTTTGACCAATAATTTATAGAGCATTGTGTATGTTGAAAATGCAGTGGTATATTCTAGAGAAGGATTACAGTTGTGGGTGTGGGCTTGGTGTTCAGGTTTCTACGTGTTTCCCTGTGCCTGTAGTTTACATTGCATGTAACTTTTCTTTTTTTTTTTTTTTTGGTTTTTAATTTTTACTAGTACATGGTTCCAATGCATAATGATTACTAACCCTTGTGAGGAGTTAGGAGATAAACATGACATCATATTAATTCTGTTAAAAAACTTCTACTCCTCTGTCTCTTCATCTTTTTAAAAATTCATTTATTAATGCATGTTTGTGGTATATGAAGTTTGCATTTGTCCAAGGGAAGACTTTCATGTATATATTGTATCTTGATTCTTTTTATTCCCCTTTCTCTTTCCGTTCACTCTCTGCCATTGTTTCTAGATTCTCTTTCCCTATTTCATGAGTATTGCTATAATTGTGATTATTACTATTATTGTTTGTACTTCATGCAGTGCTTACATTCATGTGGGTATTTGGTACATGCATGTGATGCATTTTGCATCTTTTTGCATTCCTTTCCCCTCTCTGCTTCACCTTTAAATGACTCCTCCATCCTCCTTTACCATGCTGCCCTTTCTCTTTCTGTAGACTCCATATCACCTCCTGAGAAGCTTCTTGCTGGATTCCTGGGAGCCACCTGCCTTGTCTTAGTGGTCACAGTGACAGTGCTGGTGATAGTTGTAAGTCCCTGTAAGTATAGTTTTGAAAGATTGTACAACAGTGTTCCACCCGGTGATTGAAAGGGCCTCTGACAGCTCACAATATCGAGTGACACAGCTCTCAGTTTAATATTTCTACTTGGACTGTGGATATTGATTCTGAATGTGTCTAAAGTATAACTGAAAAGGATAGTAATAAGTAATCATTTTTAACTATATTTATTATTGTGATTTTGTAGCTCAAACATGCTTTAGAAATGTGAAAAACATGATTGAAAAATACAAATTCATATTCATAATTAAAAGCTTGTGATGTTTGACAGAGCTTATTAAAATTATTTTCCCCAAAATTTCATTGTTTTATCAATTTTCTTGGTAAAATTACTTTTATTCTATAGTATTCTAACTGTAAACACTATATGAATTTCAAATTAAGAATAGAAGTTTAGTTTACTTAGATATTAATGTTTATAAGAATTGCTTTACTCTTTCTAGCTACGACAACACAGCAACAAAACAAATCTTCCTCAGTAGGAACCCGAAAAGGTACATAATAAATTTCAAAGTTCCTATATTTTCATAGATTATATTTTGTCTCTAACTCAGACCATAAGAAATGATAATAGATTTTTTTTTGGGAAAAACAAACTAAAAAATGGTCACTAATGTTCACAAATAAAGATTATATGAGACACTTAAATTTGTTCAATAAATAGAAATACATATTTAAAATTGCTGTACAATCTTCTTAGAGTTGGCTTAAATTTTCTACTTGAACTTCAACACAATGAAAGATGAATATACTATTATATAAAAGAGGTTTCATTCATTTATTTTAAGATCCTGGTAGAGTGAAGCTTTAAAAAAAATTATTTGAACACATTAATTACAAGACTGACCTTTTTCACTGTTTTTGTTTATAAAACCATATTTTATTTGATATATACCAGTCTAGGGGGGTGTACAGATATGTTACATATGTATATGTGTCTATGTAAATTCAAACATATAAATTTATTTTCAATTTTAAAATTTCACAATTATTTTGATAGAAACCCACGGTCTTTCCACAATATATCATTGTGCTCATTGTCCAAATGAGTGGTTCACATTTTCCAACAATTGTCATTACTTTGGTTTGGAAAAGAAAACTTGGAATGAGAGTTTGTTGTCCTGCACTTCTAAGAACTCTAGCCTGACTTACATAGATGATGAGAAAGAGATGGTAAGAGTTTCACTGTTTCAAATAGTTAATTAAAATCTGTATTTTAGCCAATATTATATATGTACAACTCATCCATATTCATATATACATATATTTCAAAGTCTATATGTTTTATTGTTTGACTTTATAAGAACAGATTTGTGTCTTGTATTATGGATAACCACTAAGAAGATAACAATGTACAATGTATTAAGTATTGAAACTGTCCTATTAATCAGTTTTGAAACTGTCTCATTGCTATTTGCTTCTCAATAAAAATAAATAAATTTAAGATGCATGGCAGACAAAAGAAATATGTAGATGTTCTTGGGAATCAACTACAAAAAGTCACTTTGAAGCAACTGGAGAAAATTAAATACACATGGGTAGATGATATTAAGAATGATTATTAATTTTGTTGGCTCTGTTAATCAAATTAACAAAGTCCTTTTCCAATAGAAAAAAAAAAGAATTGATTTGTGAACTGCTAACGCACATTTATTTCCAGATTTTGCTTTGCTTAGAAGGTCATGCTTGGGTGGACGAGATAGCTCATCAGCATAAAGCGCCTGCTTAGGCAAGCACATGCTTAGGCAAGCGCAGGGACAAGGACTGCGGCTCCATGCTGGACACCACAAATGGCTCCAGCCCTACACACAAGCAGGCTGAGACGGCCACAGGAAAGAAAGAAAGAAAGAAAGAAAGAAAGAAAGAAAGAAAGAAAGAAAGAAAGAAAGAAAGAAAGAAAGAAAGAGAAAGAAAGATGCCTATGGAAGAGTTTTTCTTTTTTCTTTCTTTCTTCTTTTTTTTTTTCCTGTATTTTAGAAGGGTCTACAGGGTGTTCAGAGTCTCTCTAATAGATCAGATTCAGTAATTCTCTTGTTTACAACCTCCCAAATGCTGGGATTACAAGCTAGCACCACCACTCCCACCCTCAATTGCCCTCTCAGCATGCCCTGGGGATGGGGCCAGCATGGCAGACCCAGAGATCAAACCCCTGGCCCTTGCAAAAGGGTTTTTTTTCCTAAGATAACTTTGGTACATAATTCTTCCAAACATAAAACAATCTGAACAACTCACAGTGGTGCAGATTCATCACAAAGTGATAGACAGATGCGATTAATATCAGATGAAAAGATGGAACTCTGCAGCCTCTGCGCTCCTGGGATTGTGTGTAATCTCATCAACTCTTTTTCCCCTTAAACCACCAACCATCCTGACTTTTGCTATTGTAAACTTGTGTTTCCTGGTACAGAGATGTTTATGAACACGATCATGTTCTATGTGATTTTACATCTTTGCCTTTTATCCTTGTGTGGCTTAGCGGTGATACACCAGCACTTCAGCTTGCTAATTTCTAGATTGCAGCACCTTCCACGCCACCGCACCTGGTGACTTGTTGGGAAGGGTGAGTCTGTGTTCTCAGGATAGAGGCTGCCTAGAGCACGCATTGGCTGTCCCTGAATCCCCTTTGCTGAACCTCGCATTCCATCTCTGCCCTGGTGTCCTTGAGCAGGAGAAGCTCTTCCAGAGCAGCTTACTGGATGTGGTCTCTGGAGAGCTCACCCTCACCAGGACACTCAGCGCTGTTCGGTGCTGCTGGAGGGCTCCGCTAATACAGGGCAGGGCTGAGTTCACAGCGGCCACTGATGACTCCTGGGCTGGGCGCTGGAGCTGCAGGCCGAGGTCCCTTTCTGTGCTGATGACAGCTGCGAGAAGCCATGCTGTCTAGCTCTCTAATCTTGGGGACGAAACCTGTTCACATTTTTACTTCTACCTTTCACAATTCTCTTTTACCCATGTCTTTCATTAATTTGTGAGTTTATGTCAGAAAAAAACAGAAGACAAGTTGATGCAAAATATTCAGAGCCATCAGTATTTGACCAGCGCAGGCAGAAAGGGCAGATTGTTAATAGTGGTGAGGTGCCCAGAAAACTGCATTTTTGGTTTCCATGTCAGTTATGTCTTCAGTAATAAGTGGATAATTTCCTTCTAAAGTCCAAACTCAGAGACCTGGTGCAAAAACATACTTTTTCAGTTACAGCATCTATAGAATTTAATGTGTAGTGTCTAGAAACTTATTTAAATCTTGCCAGGTTTGTTCTGTTAACGTGGGTGACTATTACACGAATCACATCATCCCTTTTGGCATAAAAAAGCAACTATCAAGAGTAAACTTCTAAGAGTTAGCTTTCAATCAATAATAAAAACACTTGTGGAAACTTTTGGCAATGCAAAAGTTGTTTTTAATTTCACATGGCTTAGCATGTTGACTTTTTTGTTGAACATTAAGAATTCTACAAAATTATACAATATTTTTAAAATAATGAAAGCTCTTATACTGATTATGTGAATTAAATCATTTGTTTCTGACAGAAATTTCTAAGTTCTATCTCACGTGCATCTTGGATTGGCATCTCACGTTCTGGCAGAGACCACCCATGGCTGCTGGTAAATGGCTCAGTGTTCCATCTTCAGTAAGTTTTTTTTTTTAAATTGATACATGTAGAAGAAGTATAAGAAGAAAAAATTAAGAATGTTATTATTAATTTATTTGAACATGAAATATGGAGCAAGTTTGTGAAATATTAATATAAATATTAATGGATAGCTTCCTAAATACTAGATCTTACTTACTCATATGATTATATGAAAAGTCATTATTCATTGTATTATAAATGCATACCACTTTATTAATTACTTTTTAAAAAATGCTTCTGTTTCACAGATCATTCCCTAAACATAACTTCATGATGCATTTTCCACCATTACAGGATACAGGAATCATCACCTGGTGAATCCAACTGTGCTTGGTTAACCATATCTGGCCTTATGGCAGAAGACTGTGGATCTCCTCAGCCATATTATTGTAAACATAAATTTCAGAATTAATATACTTCAATTTGGAGCCTGTCAGTTAATTTTCTATTTTGTGAAATAGAAGTAATATTGATTATCCAGGTCTTAAATTGAAGTGGATGAGTTCCAATAAGAGATATTTAAAAAAACTGCTATTGAAATATCTTATTTAAACTACAAAGGAAGGATACTGCTTTTTTGCCTACTTTGTATTGGTCAACACTGCATCTGTGGCATTGAATGCTTCTAAAAAATGACACATGTTGTCTGAGTCCATTTCTGTGAGATATCAAGAGGTATCGAGAAGAGGCAAACACAAAAAGGAAAAGTGTACTAGGTATTGTGAGCGACTATGAGTAAGAGAGTGATGAGCTCAGACATTACTAGTAGTAAAGGCAGTGTTTCCTTTGTGAACAGTGTAGACATTAAAACATTTGACAGTTGGAACTCTGCGAGTGTGCCAAAGACACTGATATACAGCCGTGTTAATGGATGAGTTACACGCTATGTGCATTAATTTCAGTAAAGCTGTTTAAAAATGGGATCACAAAAATTTAAAATAATAATGGGATTATGTTTGAGGCTGCATTTAACCTTCTATGTACTTTTATGTTTTAGTCATCTTGGTAATATTGTTTTTTTCAACCATTTCATGCTATGTTCTTCAACATATAATTTTCTATGTATCATTTTTTATATGTTTGATATTCAAATCTTGAAAGTAGAGTTATTTGCATTTATACTCTATAAGTGGTCCTATTACTTTAATATTTTCATCAGTAATTTTTGTTATTGTAAACAGAAACACAGTTGAAGTTTGTGGGCTGATTTTATATCTGGTGACTTCACCGATTTTATGTGCTAGTTGTATTATTCAAGTAGATATTCTTAGGGATTTTCTCCATAAACAGCTACTTCATCTGTTAAGAATCATATTACTTTTTCTTTCCAAGAGCAAAACCTATGTGCTTTTTCTTCGCTTAATTTTACTGGCTGCTGTTGTTTCCAGTGTTAGGTTGAAGCTGTAGTAAAGGTTCCATGTGTCCCATAGGCTTTGTCCTATATTGTAGGGGAAACAATTTCAGCCTGATTTATGAACTCTTTTCACATATGGAAAAAGTTCTGTAATATTCCTATTTTCTTATAGATTCTATCATAGAATTTCCATCCTGTATTGCACTTTTGTGGTATATTAAGTATTCTTTCCTTATTCACGATATACCTAAGAGAATACATCACTAGTGCTTCTCAAGGCGTCCCAACGCAGCCTTCCTCTTCCTAACCAGAAGCCTCTGTGGAGGAGCTGTTATTTATAAATGTTACTCTTCATCATGGATTCCATGTAGTTTCCAGAATTGCTATATAGGAAGGTTTATATAAGAAATTCAGTTTAATACATGTGATTTCTGTTAAATTCTATTTGTGTTACTGCGATTGGTAATTTGTGCTTGCTTTCTAGGAACATCTATGTCATACAGATATCAAAATGCATTCTTCATGTAGTTTGTTATTTTTCTGGACATGTGAAAGTGAAATGATAGTTTTACTTTCAGTTCAGATTTAAAGCAATTTGATTTTTCCAAAGTCTCCTATCAATTTTATCATATCTTTTACATGAAAATACCTTTGGTTTTAGATCTTCTGTACTGTAATTGTTTTTTGTCTCAGTTTGTGCTGCCTCTGTTTTCTGCTTTCTATTTCATTAGTACTTGATTTCAGCTTTTCTTTTCTTAAATATATTATGATAATACTCTAAAAATTCATTTCTTTTCATCTGTAATGTTGCCTTTAGGGCAATCAGTTTCTCATGAAAGGGGGTGTTGTTGTATCATATTTTTTTGTATAACATATAAAATTGTGAACATTTATTGTGATAATTTCTTTGCTAGAATTTTTAGAACTTTTGGTTATTGGCTTCATTTTTAGGACATCAGGTAATTTTTTTTTGAAGATGAGATATCATATCTTCTGTTTAGATGTAAGTAGAATGAAGAACAATGATTTTTTTTTTTTTAACTCCGTATGGCTACAGGGCAGGTTTGGCTGGCTTGAGTTGTGGAGATCGAACCACAGCAACCTGAGCCTGACTGCTTTGTCGAAGCAGTCACTTAAAGAACTGAGCTAAGGGGCAGGCCCCCTAGAATGAAGAACAAATGTTAAACTTTACATATTTTTAATTAAAATCTAAATTCAAAGTGTCTACCTGGAAAACTTGAATAGTAGGTCACTGCGTCATTAGCACAGTGTGATTTGTTTATGTTAGTATGCATGAGATTAGGACAATATAATGTATTTATGAAAGTGTCCATATGAATTTAAAGATACAGGTATTCTGTTTCGGCATGAAGCACATATGTGAGTGTGTTTGTATTTGCTGGTTATCTAAGTTAAGTATTTCCATAGCTTTACTAAGATATTTGCTGGTGTGGTAAACAGCAATACGGAAGTGCTTAAATATCCAGTAATGATTGTTTACTTATTTACTTTTTTTTTAGTTCTATGTGAAGCTTGCATTTTGGGAATACATGCATTTTTCAAAGAACATGGTCAGTAGTTTGTATAATAAATCTGCCATTACAAAATGCTTCTTCATTTCCAATAGCAACTCCTTTTCTAATGATAGTATAACAAATATGTTAGTTTTTTATTGGTTTGTGATGCATTGTGTATGTTTTTTTTGCTGTTTAACATTCATCTTTATACTTGTATTGACAGAATCTCATTAAGGCAATTTTTTCTTTTTCTTTCTTTCTTTCTTTCTTTCTTTCTTTCTTTCTTTCTTTCTTTCTTCTTTCTTTCTTTCTTTTTTTTTTTTTTTTTTTTGCGGAACTGGGGATTGAATTCAGGCCCCTGTGCTTGCCAGGCAAGCGCTTATTCCACTAAGCCATCTCCCCAGCCCCAAGGCAACATTATTGTAAATACAAATAGTTTGTACTAATTGAATATTACTCCATATATTTGATATTTACATATATTATTAAATATGCTGTTTATGTATTTATTTGAACATATAAATATATAAATATCATTGTTAATTATAATTTTCTACAAGTATGTCAATTTAATATACTTTAAATACTCTTTTATTATTGCCCCACATTTTACTGCATGTGTAGTTTATTCATGAAAGTCTAATATGTTAGTAATTTTATCCTTTCTCAAACACTAAAGAGCATCCAGGTATCTTCAGCGACTGTGCTTTCTCTCTAAATTCTAGTGTTAAAGTATTTGGAGTGACAGATAAGGAATATTTCCACATTCTCTTGGTGCCATGTAAAGGGCTGAAGAAAATAATTCCATTGACAATAAACTAGATGAATAAAATTTTAAGTGTTGCTTTTCCTTAGGTTCATTTATAATTTTAGTTCATTTTAGAAGCTTACTTCTTGAGACTGGGTGTGGTGGTATGTGCCTGTAATCCCAGCTCTTGGGAGGCTGTAAACAGGTGGATCACTATGAACTCGATCTAGTAGTAAGACCCTGAACACCCTATAAACCCTTCCCTGAAATACAAAAAGAAAAAAAAAAAAAGAAAAAAAGAAGAAGCTTACTTCTTGAACCCTCCTCATTTTTTTCATGACATGAAATTTTAAAAATATTTTCTCCTTTCTTCACCATATAGTTTGTCTTAGGCTTTTGCCACTTACCACAAATATTCCTGTCACAGCACAAATAATTATGAGTAAAGGGTTCCATTATGAACAACACAATAGGGGGATCATTTAGCTTTTGAATTTCTAGCATGGTGATAGATGAATATTATTTAGCAATCCTATCCAGAGATATTTATTTTTATCATGAAAATATCTTATTTATATATAACAAAATTACAAATCAGGCTTGATGGCATATAATAGCCCTTCAGAAACAGAGGCAGTAAGATCACAGTTCATAGACAGCCCAGAACACAGTGAAACTAGAGCAGGTTAAGGAATAAAGGAAGTATTAAAAGCTTTATTTCAATAACCGATAAGGAAATAACCCATGCAGAACTGAGCCTTCAAAATGGTTCTCAAGATCTTCAAAGAAATGACCAGAACCGCCAGTGCACAGGTAAACCATGTACTCAATCCTCAGTGTAACTGTTGTAAGACATGCAGTTGGCTTGTGGGTTAAAAGCAGAAAAGAAGATCTCGTGTTTCCATATGTTAAGGTCAGAGCTTAAACTTGGGATGTGGTGTTATAATATAAAGTTAATTCATTTATTGTTAAAATTTCCAGTCTGATCAACAACTCATGAAGTAGTCTCTTTACTGAACATTCAATGATGATACTGAAGGAAAATTAGTATTGTGGATGTGGGGTTTGAGTCCAAGTGCATGATTCCCTGTGCATGTGGCTTCTCTTCTATGTAAACTTTTCAAACAGTGGGCTCCATCCTCCCTTCTCATCATTTCAATTTCCTTCTCTGCAGACTTTCTGTCACCTCCAGAGAAACTCATTACTGGGATCCTGGAGTCATCTGCTTCACTTTAATGGCTATGGCTTTCAGGGTTCCACCTGTGAATGGTCTGGACAGAGCCTCCTCTCCACAGATGAGACTTCAAAGTTCCTCCTCCAGTGAGGCCGACCCTTTTAATAGCAGTTAAGATTAAAATAGCAGCATCCCAACTGCCAGCAAGACTGGTGGCCAAGGCTTGGCATCACCAGGAAAGGGCCAAGTGTTTGCAGGAACAAACAAGTCTGTCTTCCACATACATAAGAAAGAGCACATACTTGAGAATAAGCCAGGCTCACGAGGTATCCCCTTCTTGAGAAGATGCTCTCCATGCACCCTGACATTTAACCTCCAGAACAAAGGGAGAATATCTTATGAACACAGAGGAAATTTTTTTTTTAATATCCAAAATGCATTTATTGGGATGGCTTTCTACTCATAGTGATTGAGGGTACTGTTAGTGCTGCTTTCTCCTAAAGGAATATCCTTCTGTGACCTTGCTTTCCCTCATGTAGGCTGGCACAGGACAGTGGAGCAGCCAACAAACAGAACTACCTTTTGTGCATGGCTAAAGACTGTAGTGATTTTATAGCAT